CCCCCCCCCCCCCCCCCGGGGGGCCGGTGTTGACGTGCCGCACGTCTTTGCTCTCTAATTCCGTTCCGTGTTTTTTACCATTTCTATTTTGTTTTCATTCAAGTGCGAGGTTTTGCTCTTTATTTCTGTTCCGCTTTTTTATCCTCTTTATCTTCTTCTTGTTTCAGTGCGCGTTCTTTGCTCTTCATTTCCGTCTTGTTGTGCGGTGTCACTGTGTTGATTCTCCCATTCTACCGCTCCCAACTTTTTTTTCCTTTGGTGATGTTTGTTATGTTCAGTGTGTACCGTGTTCGTGGCCGTGCGATTTATCGTTGTTGTCGTTTTATTAGTAATCGTTCCGGGATCTGCTCTCATCGTCACCGGTACAACTGACACGGGCACCTTCCGTGGTCGCAGGCCATCTTCTAAAACGGTACAACACACCTCTAGAATTAATTCAAACGGACACAGAGATGGACTCAGAAAAGCCTCAGGCCATCTACCCCAAAACGGTACACACTTTATAGAAATCAAACGAGAATTGTTGATGGACTCAGAGAATCCTCCCAACACATTTCTTACAGAATCATAGTTCGTGCAGCAAGGCGGTATCGGGCCTGGTGTACGGACAAGGTTTTGCGATTTGGACAAGTCAATCGTTCGTGCCTCGCTGCTGCTGTCTCTCGCTTCGTATGCATACTGCTCACCGTAGGAAACGAGTATGAGAGGAAACCATCAATTTGAGATAGTAGCTTGTGTTCGTCCATAACCAGGTCTCATGGTTGCTAAAACCGAAACGTATGGAACCCATTTGTTGAGAACCATGTCGCCAGACGGCATTGATTGTGTCAGGCTTGGTGATGATTTCCCCCCGCTTTTTGTTCTGGTACTGATCAGGTACGGCTTAACCACGTCGGAGACTGGGGGACACAGTTCGGGATGCTGATCTCCCACCTCAAAGAAGTCGCACCAGAGGCTATCGAGGATGGGGCGGAGGACAAGGCAAGTGTTTCGTCAGAAGAAAGGCAGCCTCTCCGATGTGAATTTCGATTGGGATTTTGAGGAGTCGTGGGCGTTGATTCTGCGAAGTGGTGTGTCATTGTTGTTTGTTGTTGTTGCTGCTGCTGCTGTTGTCGTTGTTGCTGTTGCCGTTGCTGTTGTCATCGTTGTTGCTGTTGCTGTTGCTGTTGTTGTTCATGGCGTTGTTGCTGTTGTTAGTTGTTGTCGTTGCTGCTGCTGTTACGGGTGGGGGTGTCTTCGGGCGGTGTTGGTTGTTGCCGTCGGCACTATTACTATTTTTTTTTTCGTGGTACTTCCCGGCTTACACCTCAGCTCTCCGGCGAAAAACTTTCTACTCGAGCGCGATCCGTTGATGGTCTATGCGAAGAAAACCGACAGCCTCCCACAAGACACCTCGCTCCCTGCCTCCATTATTCGTAACCATATCGGACTCCCAACCGTGTGTTTTTTCGTTTTTTCTTTGTCGCAGTTCAACGTGGGAGACTTGGTGACGTTCTACAAGGAAGCCAAGGCTCGCTTCGACGAAGATGACGGTTTTAAGGAGATCGCCCGCGCGGAGGTGTGCGCGTTTTCCCTAAAATGTATATTCCAACGATGTTTGAGATGTGCAACCCCCCTCTTGCAAAACTCCATCCGCCAAATTTCGCTGTCTGTATTTGCCATCCCTCCCTCCTACCCCGCCCGAATTAACCCCTCATTCAGGTGGTCAAGCTGCGGGGACGTGGGTGCCCCCTCCCCCTCCCTCAGTAATATTATTCCCCACCCACCCCTCCCCACCCCGCCCGAAATTCGCGCCTCTTTCAGGTGGTCAAGCTCCAGGCGGGAGACGCAGAGAGCAAGCGCGCGTGGGGGGTCCTTTGCGAGGCGTCCCGCAGAGGCTTTCAGGACATCTACTCGCTGCTTGGGGTGGAGCTGGAGGAGCGGGGGGAGTCGTTCTACAACGTGATGTTGCCGGACGTGGTTAGCGACTTGGAGGTGAGGGTTGTGGTGTTGGCGCTCGTTTGTTGTTGAACTTCGACTCTTACATGCGCAAAGAGGATAAGTGTATTACTAGGAAATGCGAGGCGGGGGGCACGCAGACCCTAACCCTAACCCCAGCCCAACTTAGCCGATGTATACATTACGCCGTGTGTTTACCTACGTGGATAAGCCTGTGTATTTGAATACTGTTAAATTCATTGTGGTGGTGGTGGTGGTGGTGGTGGTTGTTGTTGTTGTCATGGTAGCCGCCGCCGTCGCTATCATCGTCATCGTCATCGCCATCACTGCTGTTGTTGCGTGGTTTCGCGCGCTGTCTACATTGTCAAAAACTTGAAAAATATTAACTCAGCTTTTTTGCTAGAGTTGAGGCTGAAACAGAAGTGCGGAGACAGCCATTCCCCAGCAGGAGAGGGCGGTAGTTTTGAACGATATGTTCGAGTTGTTGTTGTTGCTGCTGCTGCTGCTGCTGCTGCTGCTGCTGCTGCTGCTGGAGTCAACGACACCCACTAACGACCCGACGCTAGTGTCAGCAGGACACCAAAACGAGAAACGACGCACGCGTCTGAAGGTTTTCGTCGTGTTGTGTTGTATGCACTTGTGCCTGTACCGTTCACCCTTCGTGTAAGGACCTTGGCCAATGGTAGACACCGAGGAGAGGGTTGTTGTGGAACTATGGAATGGTGTGTACGGAGACCGGAACGTTCCATTGTATGGGCGTGCCCTTGGGTGCCTTGCTTGTTGGGTGACATCCTGGCAAGAAGAAGAAGAACAACAACAACAACAACGAATGTGTCGTGTCCGTCTGTTGATCAGAGCGAGGGCCTTCTGGAGGAGAGCGATGGAGCCAAGGTAGTGTACCTGGAAGGCTTCGAGTCCCGAGATGGCACCTCGCAGCCCCTCCTCGTCAAGAAGAGCGACGGAGGCTTCATGTGAGACACAAGAAGATGCATTATTTTGTTTCGATACGCACGCGACCCGCATACATTTGCACAGCCAATACGGTACCACCCACCGTGCGGAACACTCACGGTTTCAACGCCAACATGCGGAAACACTCTCCATTTCCCGGGACGTTTGTTTTTCCGAACGAACTGAAAGTTTTCAGAATTGTTACGACATTTAGATCTGCGTCATGTTCGATCTGGACAAACTAAAAATTTTTAGAATTGTTACGACATCGCGATCCGACTGACGTTCGATCTGGACGAACTGAAAGTTTTTAGAGTTTACTTGCGACCTTCGGTCTGGTGGTGGGCATCCGTGCATGTGCGGCAGGTACTCTACAACAGACTTAGCGGCTATCCGACATCGCGTCACGACCGAGCGGGCTGACCGAGTACTTTACGTGGTGGATGTGGGCCAGGGAAGCCACTTCGCTCAGGTGCGTTTACCGTACGACCTGTTCGTGTTGGCTACTTTTTTTATTTGCGTCGTTCTTGTTTGTGTTCGTTTGCTCATTGTGTGTCCGCAGTTTTCTGTCGGTTGTCTGTGTATTCTATCTTTTGTTGGGTTCGCTGTGCGTTTGTTTTTTTTACATTTGATTGTTGTGCCTTTTTATTCTGTTTTATGTGTTCACCAACCATATGAGGACTAAACTAACCAAAATTTTCTGCCAGAGGATGCATAAACCACCAGCTACTTTGTTCGAAAGAGTATCTTCGGCCACCTGCGTGCGCGGTCTTGCAGCACCTTCTTCTGCCCACATGCTCATTTTCTTTTTCTGGGTGCTTTCGCACGTTTTGCTGTGGCGTCTTCTTGTTTCTTGTGGGACATTCCGTACATATCTGCTTCCTTCTCCCGTTTCGTTTCCCGCTCGGTGTTCTCTCTTTGTTCTCCGCCCATGCGCTTACGTTTTTTTTCTTGTCTTGCTTTTTTATATATTCTGCAGGTTTTCCAGGTAGCGAGGCGTGCGGGATTCGCGCCGGAGGGGGTGCAGCTGCAGCACGTTCCGTTTGGGCTCGTGCAAGGTGTGTGAGGTTTATCTACCCTATCAGGGAGGGGATGTACCGTACAGCTCGGCGAAAACAAAGTTTGTCTTCGAGGAATCGGTCGGCGGAACAAGGGACCGAACCGAGAGAAGTAAACTTGGAGAGAGGTTGCCATTTTGGGCCTTGGAAGGTTGCTTGGGGTTAAGTTAAGTAGGACGCCGCCGTATGGCGCTCGAGATGCCACCCACGCATCCTATGAGTCTTTCAGGCGCTTTCACGTACTCGAGGGGCGTACGTGTATGATTTACATACCAGAGCAGCGTTACACAACTCGATTGGCTTCGAACCGTAACAGAACGTTCTTTTTTTTCTTGCGAGGATCGCGGCTGTTATTTTTTTGCTGTGCTGCGACCAACGGACACCATTTTTTTATTTTTGGGGCAGGCTTCTTCTTGTTCCTAGGCATCACAACAGTTCCCCCCCCTCCAAGTTTTTGCGAAATGTCCGTTTTACAAGGAGATAGATTTGTACATGACTGAGCTGGGAAAAGTATCAGGAAGGCACGGGGAAATGTTTGAAGCATGGGATATTTAGCCAGGAGAAGACGGTAGCTGTACTGGGGCACAGGAAGTGGGCTGAAAAGGAGGGAAGGGATATCGATACAATATAGGATAGATGGGCTAGGGATGACATTTTTGAGTCACCTTTGGCAAAGTAGGAAGGAAAGATTGGCCATCGGTGATGGGTCCTGTGGGAACAATGCTCCGTCCTCTCGAGGACGCGTGGTCATTGGTCTAACCGCTAAGGCGTGCAAAACGTAAGAGTACGCCCCCCCCCCCCCAACC